GCAGCGGTGACGTGGCGATGCGTGGCGCATCCCATGGTGACGTGGCATTGCGCGATGCAACCCATAGTGACGTGGCAATGTGTCACGCTGCTTGTGATGACGTGGCGATGCGTGGTGCATCCCGTGGTGACGTGGCGATGCGTGGCGCATCCTGTAGTGACGTGGCATTGCGTGACGCAACCCATTGTGACGTGGCGATGCGTGGCACTGGCCGTGGTGACGTGGCGATGCATGGCGCATCCCGTGGTGACGTCGCGTTGGTGGCGCATCCCGTAGGGGTTTCGTGTTGCGTGACGCAACCCATAGTGACGTGGCAATGCGTTGCGCTGGGCGTGGTGACGTGGCGATGCATGGTGCATCTTGTGGTGACATGGCGATGCGCGGCGCATCCCGTAGGGACGTGGCGTTGCGCGACGCAACCCATAGTGACGTGGCAATCCGTTGCGCTGCGCGTGGTGACGTGGCGATGCATGGTGCATCCCGTGGTGATGTGGCGATGCGTGGCGCATCTCGTAGGGACGTGGCGTTGCGTGACGCAACCCATAGTGACGTGACGATGCGTGGCATTGCCCGTGGTGACGTGGCGATGCATGGCGCATCCCGTGGCGACGTGGCGATGCGTGGCGCATCCCGTGGTGACGTGGCATTGCGTGACGCAACCCATAGTGACGTGGTTGTGCGTAGCGCTGCCCGTGGTGACGTGGCGATGTGTGGCGCATCCCGTAGTGACGTGGCGTTGCGTGACGCAACCCATAGTGACGTCGCGATGCGTCGCGCTCCCTGCGGTGACGTGGCGATTCGTGGCGCATCCCATAGTGACGTGGCATTGCGTGATGCAACCCATAGTGACGTGGCAATATGTCACGCTGCTCGTGATGACGTGGCGATGCGTGGTGCATCCCGTGGTGACGTGGCGATGCGTGGCGCATCCTGTAGTGACGTGGTATTGCGTGACGCAACCCATTGTGACGTGGCGATGCGTGGCATTGCCCGCGGTGACGTGGCGATGCATGGCGCATCCCGTGGTGACGTGGCGATGCGTGGCGCATTCCGTAGTGACTTGGCGTTGCGTGACGCAACCCATAGTGACGTGGCAATGCGTTGCGCTGCGCGTGGTCACGTGGCGATGCACGGTGCATCCCGTGGTGACATGGCGATGCGCGGCGCATCCCGTAGGGACGTGGCGTTGCGTGACGCAACCCATAGTGGCGTGGCAATCCGTTGCGCTGCGCGTGGTGACGTGGCGATGCATGGTGCATCGAGTGGTCACATGGCGCATCCCGTAGGGACGTGGCGTTGCGTGATGCAACCCATAGTGACGTGGCGATGCGTGGCACATCGTGTAGTGACGTGGCGTTGCGTGACGCAACCCATTGTGACGTGGCGATGCGTGGCATTGCCCGTGGTGACGTGGTGATGCGTGACTCATCCCGTGGTGACGTGGTATTGCGTGACGCAACCCGTAGTGACGTGGTGATGCGTAGCGCTGCCCGTGGTGACGTGGCGATGCATAGCGCATCCCGTGGTGACGTGGCGTTGCGTGGCGCATCCTTTACTTACGTGGCGTAGCGTGAAGCAACCCATAGTGATGTGGCGATGCGTGGCGCAGCCCGTGGTGACGTGGCAATGCATGGCGCATCCCGTGGCGACGTGGCGATGCGTGGCGCATCCCGTAGTGACGTGGCATTGCGTGACGCAACCCATAGTAACGTGGCAGTGCGTAGCGCTGCCTGCGGTGACGTGACGTTGCGTGGCGCATCCCATACTGATGTGGCATTGCGTGACGCAACCCATAGTGACGTGGCAATGTGTCACGCTGCTCGTGACGACGTGGGGATGCGTGGTGCATCCCGTGGTGACGTGGCTATGCGTGGCGCATCCTGTAGTGACGTGGCATTGTGTGACGCAACCCATTGTGATGTGGCAATGCGTGGCACTGCCCGTGGTGACGTGGCGATGCATGGCGCTTCCCGTGGTGACGTGGCGATCCGTGGCGCATTCCGTAGTGACTTGGCGTTGCGTGACTCAACCCATAGCGACGTGGTGATGCGTAGCGCTGCCCGTGGTGTCGTGGCGATGCATGGCGCATCCCGTGGTGACGTGGCGATGCGTGGCGCATCCTTTAGTGACGAGGCGTTGCGTGACGCAACCCATAGTGATGTGGCGATGCGTGGCGCAGCCCGTGGTGACGTGGCAATGCATGGCGCATCCCGTGGGGATGTGTGATGCAACCCATAGTGACGTGGCTTTGCGTGGCACATCCTGTAGTGACGTGGCGTTGCGTGTTGCAACCCATTGTGACGTGGCGATGCGTGGCGTTGCCCGTGGTGACGTAGCGATGCGTGGCGCATCCCGTGGTGACGTGGCAAGGCGTGACGCAACCCATAGTGACGTGGCGGTGCGTAGCGCTGCCCGTGGTGACGTGGCGATGCATGGTGCATCCCGTGGTGACGTGGCGATGCGTGGCGCATCTCGTAGGGACGTGGTGTTGCGTGACGCAACCCATAGTGACGTGGCGATGCGTGGCACATCCTGTCGTGACGTGTATGCGTGACGCAATCCATAGTGACCTGACGATGCGTGGCATTGCCCGTGGTGATGTGGCGATGCATGGCGCATCCCGTGGCGATGTGGCGATGCATGGCGCATCCCGTGGTGACGTGGCATTGCGTGACGCAACCCATAGTGACGTGGCGGTGCGTAGCGCTGCCCGAGGTGATGTGGCGATCCGTGGCGCATCCCGTAGTGACGTGGCGTTGCGCGACGCAACCCATAGTGACGTCGCGATGCGTCGCGCTGCCTGCGGTGACGTGGCGACGTGTGGCGCATCCCATAGCGACGTGGCATTGCGTGACGCAACCCATAGTGACGTGGCAATGTGTCACGCTGCTCGTGATGACGTGGGGATGCGTGGTGCATCCCGTGGTGACGTGGCTATGCGTGGCGCATCCTGTAGTGATGTGGCATTGCGTGACGCAACCCATTGTGACGTGGCGATGCGTGGCGCAGCCCGTGGTGATGTGGCGATGCATGGCGCATCCCGTGGCGACGTGGCGATGCGTGGCGCATCCCGTGGTGATGTGGCATTGTGTGACGCAACGCATAGTGACGTGGCGGTGCGTAGCGCTGCCCGTGGTGACGCGGCGATGCGTGGGGCGTCCCGTAGTGACGTGGCGTTGCGTGACGCAACCTATAGTGACGTCTGGATGCGTCGCGCTGCCTGCGGTGGAGTGGCGATGCGTGGCGCATCCCATATTGACGTGGCATTGCGTGACGCAACCCATAGTGACGTGGCAATGTGTCACGCTGCTCGTGATGACGTGGCGATGCGTGGTTGGGACTGAAATGGCAGATTTCCCCTCGTCATGTTTTTCCCACCCACGTTTAGTTCTCGTTATCGTTTTTTGCCCACTCCACTCGGTTTTGGGTTCCTTTTTTCCGTTTACTTCTTTTTTTCCTTTACCTCCCCTGCACTTTTGCCTCTCTCCCCTGTCCTTTCGCCACCCACCCCCTTGCCCGCGGCTGCACCAATTCGAATTTCCTTGCCTCCCATCTCGCAATCTCTCGCTCACGTTTTTGCTCCTCCTTTCTCTCATGTCTCGCTCGATAAACGCTCTAGCTAGCAGGTCGCGACTCGCTTCTAGAAGCCATGCGCGACCCGATATGGGCGTCTCGTGCCGCTCTTGACCTGATATCCTGCATTTTCCCCGCTGACCTTGCATGAGCTTCGTGGACTGAAATGCACATGGCGCGGCGCCTTTTAGAACGGATTGGACTGAAATGCACAAGGCGCGGCGAATAGAGAACGATCGGCAGCAGATGCAGGTGCGCTCGTCGGTCAGTGCTCTTTTCGCGACGCGCGCCATGCCTTTCCTTCGTTGTTCGCCGTTTGGTCGTCGTTTCGCGCTTGCGCTTTGCCTAGGTACTGTACGAGCCGTGGTCTTCTCGTTTCTGCCCACGATCCGACCCGTTCTGGTGCTTGGGATGGGTGATTGTGTGAGGGTGTCCTCGGAGGTCATCCCCCCCCCCCCCCCCCCCTCCCTCTCTACCCCCTCCGCCCTCCCCCGTTGTTCCACCTGCCTTTGCTCCTTGCCTCCCATTCCCCTCCAGCCAGCTCGGGGCAGCTGGGCTCCGGGCGCCAAGGCTTGGGGCGTAAAGGCTCGGGGCAGCTAGGCTCGGGTCATCAAGGCACACTCTCCTCCCCACCACTCTCTCCCCCCTGTTGTCCCGACAAACCAGATTCTGATTTCCAACCTCGGTCCATTCTCTTCCCAACCCCGGAACAGTCTCTTTTCTCCCCAGGTAGGATTCTATTTCCCGGGCAAGTTCTGTTTTGCCCCCACCCTGGGCAAGTTTTGTTTTGCCCCCACCCAGGGCAAGTTCTCTTTTGCCCCCATGGGGTAATCTCTTTTGCCCCCAGGTGAAATTCTGTTTTGCCCCCAGGTGAATTTCTGTTTTGCCCTGAGGTGAACTTCTGTTTTGCCCAGAGGTGAAATTCTGTTTTGCCCCCAGTTGAAATTCTGTTATGCACCCAGTTGAAATTCTGTTCTGCCCCCAGTTGACTTGGGGGACTTGGGGGACTTGGGGGACTTAGGCGGGCGGGGGAGGGGAAATGGTTCCCGAGTCGTGGAAGCAGTAGCCCTGTGCTGCTGTTGAGCATTCTCAGGAATCCCTATGCTTTAGCAAACTCCTGATAGTCACTTGTAGAAAAGCTCCATTTAAAACTCTGACTGCTAGGCAAGCTCTATTCAAAACCTTCCGTGCCCAAGCTGCCCTCCTGCTCGCCGTTCTCACTCTTCTCACTCTCCCACTCCTCTCCCACTCCTCTCCCACTCCTCTTGCTGCTGGCACTTTTGCACGACCCTCTGGGAGCCAGTGACAGGGTGCTGGAGGAAGCAGGGTGCTACCTAATAGACGAGGAGGATGCCATGGTGTGCCGCCGGCCCTACCTTGGCAGTGTCCCACCTCCCTTGCCCTCCTTACACCTCCCATTTCCCCAAATGCAGGACCCTCTGAGAGCCAGTGACAGGGTGCTGGAGGAAGTGGGGTGCTACCTAATAGACGAGGAGGATGCCATGGTGTACCGCCGGCCCTACCTCGCTAGTGCCTCACCCCTTTACCATCCCGTCAATCTCTCTCTCCCCTCACGTCCACCCTTCACCACATGCCAGGATCCACTAAGAGCCAGTGATCGAGTGCTGGAGGAAGGGGGGTGCTATCTAATCAAGGAGGAGGATGCAGTGGTGTACCGCCGACCCTACCTCGCCACCCATTCACCTTCTGGGCTCTCCCCTTGTTTTGAGACGTCTCAAAACACTCCTTTTTTCACCTCGCCACCCATTCACCGTCTGGGCTCTCCCCTTGCTCCTCGTTCTCCAACTGCTGGCAGGACCCGCTTTTGAGGCGCCTCAAAAGTCGGCTCTCCCCTTGCTCCTCGTTCTCCAACTGCTGGCAGGACCCGCTACGTGCGAGCGATCGAGTGCTGGAGGAGGCCGGCTGCTACCTGATAGACGAGGAGGATGCAATGGTGTACCGCCGGCCCTACCTCGCCAGTGGTGCCTCGGGGTTTGCACTCACATCCATCACCCGAGCGTTTCAGAAGGATCTCAAGGTACGCAGAGCGGTTGGGATGGGTTTTGAGCTCACAGCAACTGCACCTATCCCATGGCGCATGGGGCTGTGCCCTCACAGCCATAACGAGGGCCTTTCAAAAGGAGCTCAAGGTGAGCAAGGTGGGCTGTTGTCTTAGCTAGGGTATTTTTCACTCTTTTTCTTTACTTGCTAGTACTGCTGCTCTAAAGCATTTCACTAGTACTGCTGCCATTCCAACCATGAGTGACAACAAAAGGAGCTCAAGGTGAGCAAGGTGGGCTGTCCCGCACAAGGAGGGTAGAGCTTTTTCCCTTACTGCCGGCCCTACGTTGCCAGTGGCGCATGGGGCTGTGCTCTCACCTCACAGCCATCACCCGGGCCAGTGGCGCATGGGGCTGTGCTCTCACCTCACAGCCATCACCCGGGCCAGTGGCGCATGGGGCTGTGCTCTCACCTCACAGCCATCACCCGGGCCAGTGGCGCATGGGGCTGTGCTCTCACCTCACAGCCATCACCCGGGCCAGTGGCGCATGGGGCTGTGCTCTCACCTCACAGCCATCACCCGGGCCAGTGGCGCATGGGGCTGTGCTCTCACCTCACAGCCATCACCCGGGCCAGTGGCGCATGGGGCTGTGCTCTCACCTCACAGCCATCACCCGGGCCAGTGGCGCATGGGGCTGTGCTCTCACCTCACAGCCATCACCCGGGCCAGTGGCGCATGGGGCTGTGCTCTCACCTCACAGCCATCACCCGGGCCAGTGGCGCATGGGGCTGTGCTCTCACCTCACAGCCATCACCCGGGCCAGTGGCGCATGGGGCTGTGCTCTCACCTCACAGCCATCACCCGGGCCAGTGGCGCATGGGGCTGTGCTCTCACCTCACAGCCATCACCCGGGCCAGTGGCGCATGGGGCTGTGCTCTCACCTCACAGCCATCACCCGGGCCAGTGGCGCATGGGGCTGTGCTCTCACCTCACAGCCATCACCCGGGCCAGTGGCGCATGGGGCTGTGCTCTCACCTCACAGCCATCACCCGGGCCAGTGGCGCATGGGGCTGTGCTCTCACCTCACAGCCATCACCCGGGCCAGTGGCGCATGGGGCTGTGCTCTCACCTCACAGCCATCACCCGGGCCAGTGGCGCATGGGGCTGTGCTCTCACCTCACAGCCATCACCCGGGCCAGTGGCGCATGGGGCTGTGCTCTCACCTCACAGCCATCACCCGGGCCAGTGGCGCATGGGGCTGTGCTCTCACCTCACAGCCATCACCCGGGCCAGTGGCGCATGGGGCTGTGCTCTCACCTCACAGCCATCACCCGGGCCAGTGGCGCATGGGGCTGTGCTCTCACCTCACAGCCATCACCCGGGCCAGTGGCGCATCGGGCTTTGCTTCGATCCCCCTCCAAGCCGTCACTCCCCCTGGTGGTCGCCAAGGCCAGATCTGCAGTCTCAAGCCAGGCCTCCTCTCAAGCCAGCCCTCCTCCTCAAGCCAGCCCTCCTCCTCAAGCCAGCCCTCCTCTCAAGCCAGCCCTCCTGCTGTCTTAATGCCAGCTCTCCTCCTGTCATCTGGGGGCATCAACCACCGCTGCTGCTGCTGCTGCCACCGCTCAGAGCTTTGGCTTTATTCTTCCCCGCTCCCCACTCTGCCCCTCCCAGCCGTCACTCCCCCTGGTGGTCGCCAAGGGCCTCTCGGCCGCTTAATGCCAGCTCTCCTCCTCACCCACTGTCATCTGGGGCATGAAGGACCGCTGGCAGTCATTTCATGCCCCCCCTTGTTCCCCCCCTCTCTCCCTCCCTCTTCCCTCCCAGCTGTCACTCCCCCTGGTGGTCGCCAAGGCCCTCTCTGTCCCTCCTCCTCAAGCCAGCTCTCCTCCTATCATCTGGGGGCATCAACCACCGCTGCTGCCGCCACTCGACTTTGGCTTGATAATGCTGCTGCTGCCACTCGACTTTGGCTTGATAATGCTGCTGCTGCCACTCGACTTTGGCTTGATAATGCTGCTGCTGCCACTCGACTTTGGCTTGATAATGCTGCTGCTGCCACTCGACTTTGGCTTGATAATGCTGCTGCTGCCACTCAACTTTGGCTTGATAATGCTGCTGCTGCCACTCGACTTTGGCTTGATAATGCTGCTGCTGCCACTTTCCTCCTCAGCCACAGTCGTCTGGGGCATGAAGGACCGCTGCTGCTGCCACTGGGCTTTGGCTTGATAATGCCTGCGTGTGCCCTCCCTCCGCACAGGCGTCCCTCCCTCTGGTCTCCAAGGCCCTCTCAGCCGTCTCTGCCCTCCCCTCTGAGTCCTCGCTGCTGCCGCCACTGGGCTTTGGCTTGATAATGCCTGCTTGTGCCCTTCCTCTCTCTTTATCCCCCCCCCTTACCAGGCGTCACTCCCTCTGGTCTCCAAGGCCCTCGCTGCTGTGTCTGCCCAGCCCTCCTCCTCTTCCACCGTTATTTGGGGCATGAAGGACCGCTGGCAGTCGTTTGATGGGGTCAGGGAGACGTGCAGGGCATCCGGGGCCATTCTAGTGACTCTGGACGAGGTGAGTATAGAGAGAGGAATTGGTAGTGAGGTCTCTCTAAAGTCATGTGGGGCATGAAGGACCACTGGCAGGCATTTGACGGGGTCAGGGAAGCGTGCAGGGCAGCCGGGGCCGTTCTAGTGACTCTGGACGAGGTGAGTATTGAGAGAGGAATTGGTAGTGAGGTCTCTCTAAAGTCATGTGGGGCATGAAGGACCGCTAGCAGACGTTTGACGGGGTCAGGGAAGCGTGCAGGGCAGCCGGGGCCGTTCTAGTGACTCTGGAGGAGGTGAGTATAGAGAGAGGAATTGGTAGTGAGGTCTCTCTAAAGTCATGTGGGGCATGAAGGACCACTGGCAGGCATTTGACGGGGTCAGGGAAGCGTGCAGGGCAGCCGGGGCCGTTCTAGTGACTCTGGACGAGGTGAGTATTGAGAGAGGAATTGGTAGTGAGGTCTCTCTAAAGTCATGTGGGGCATGAAGGACCGCTGGCAGACGTTTGACGGGGTCAGGGAAGCGTGCAGGGCAGCCAGGGCCGTTCTAGTGACTCTGGACGAGGTGAGTGAGTGGCTCGTACATGCCCCACATGATGAGCACATGCCACGTGTCAGTACATACAGACAGAGGAAGGAGGACCCTCAATTGGTAGTAAGTTATGAAAACGACTCAGTGTAACGCCAACCCTCCTCATGTGGGGGATGAAGGAGGACCGCTGGCAGTCTTTTGACGGGGATCCTGACGCTTGTAGGGCAGCCTTTTGACGGGGATCCTGACACTTGTAGGGCAGTCTTTTGACGGGGATCCTGTTCTAGTGACTCTGGACGAGGTGAGAGCAGATAGAGGAAACAAGAGTCAGTGTCACGCCAACCCTCCTCCTCATGTGGGGCATGAAGGAGGACCGCTGGCAGTCTTTTGACGGCGTTCGAGAAGCGTGGGTTCAAGCCAGCCTTCCTCCTCATCCACAGTCATCTAGGTGACTTTTGAGTCGACTCAAAAGTCGCCTCACCCATAGTGCACGTTCTTGGGGTCAAGCCAACCTTCCTCCTCATCCTCTGTCATCTGCGGCATGAATGTCCGCTGGCTGTCCTTCCAAGGAGTTCGTGAAGTGTGTTGAGCAGCAGGGGCGGCGCTTGTGACTCTACTCGAGATGAGTGCAGAGGGATTGATGCATGGGTGAGGCCACTGTCACGCCAACCCTCCAGAGTGATTTTTGAGAACTCTAAAAAATCGCTCACAAGGACTCTAGTCGAGATGAGTGCAGACGGAATGATGCATGGGTGTACAGGGAATGATGCATGGGTGAGGCAACTGTCACGCCAGCCCTCCTCTGCAGCCACGGTCATGTGGGGCATGAAGGACCGCTGGCTGTCCTTTGATGGGGATTGGTTGGGAGGCTTAGCAGGGGCTGTTTTTGTGACTCTAGACGAGGTGAGTGTTGAGAAAATGAGGACAAGATGTTTTGTAAGGTTGCAAAAGCATCCCTTAACTTTCATTGAGCTGTCCCCACATGTGTTGTGCCAACTATATCCTGCTCTTTGTGCCCCTTTTTTCTTGATCCCGCCGCATCTTAATTTTTCTTCGCTGTTGTTTTCTTCTTCTTTCCTTGCATGAATTCCTTTCCGAGCAGGTGGGGCATCATGCACAGGAAGATTATGGAGAGGAGGTGGGGCGAGTGATTCGAAACATTCTCCGCCGCACGACATGACAGATTTCTATTGCACCAACATTATGCTGCGGTGGCTATGAGCGTGCGCCACCATTTTTGTTATTTTCCTTAAATCCTTTATGCAATTTGCAGAAGGAATGGATGGCTTTATGGTGAATAACTGCTAGTATTTCACATTTAGCTGGAACTTTCACAGCTTCCAGTTAATAGTCCGTAAACACTCTCAGCTCTTTACCGCTTTTTCTGATGATGAAATACCCTGAACCTGATCTCAAACTCAAAGGATCTGTATGACAAACAACCACCTTCAGGAGGCTTGTCTCGGGCAGACACAAGCAGTTTTTCGTGACCACTGCCCGCACAGGATGTTCTCTGGCGGCTTCACCTGGAGTCGAGAGACAACCTTTTACTGTACTGTACTCATCAGACACAGCAGGCGACCCTATGCAAAGCCTGAATTAGTAGCCGACCTGGGACGCAACAGTTTCCGTTTCCCGCGTGTGACTTCGTCAGTTACCATCTGGGTTTGTAGAGTTGCTGTGAGAGACTCGCGAGGTTGACGGTTTGTTAACATATGGCGATGTGTAGCGCTGCCCATGGTGACGTGGCGATGCATGGCGCATCCAATGGTGACGCGGCGATGCATGGCGCATCCCGTAATGACGTGGCGTTGCGTGACGCAACCCATAGTGACGTGGCCATGTATGGCGCAACCTGTGGCGATGCATGGCGCATCTTGTGGTGACGTGGCGATGTGTGGCGCATGCCGTAGTGACGTGGAGATGCGTGGCGCATCCTGTAGTGACGAGGCATTGCTTGACGCAACCCATAGTGACGTGGTGATGCATGGCGCAACCCGTGGTGACGTGGCGATGCATGGCGCATCCCATGGCGACGTGGCGATGCGTGGCGCATCCCGTGTTGACGTGGCATTGCGTGACGCAACCCATAGTGACGTGGTGGTGCGTAGCGCTGCCCGTGGTGATGTGGCAATGCGTGGCACATCCCGTAGTGACATGGCGTTGCGTGACGCAACCCATAGTGACGTCGTGATGCGTCTGTCAGAACATATCTATAGCTGATACTGCTGTGTAGGCTGTAGTGGGGTATCCCATAGGGGGTACAACCCACTTAGGGTTTCACATTTGTACTGCTTTCATTCATAGTTCACCTCATTCCTGCTTACTCATTTACACATGGTATAGAGCTAGGTCCCTCCAGGACCGAAATTTTTTTTTGGGCCCACCGAAGCGCGCCCCCGAGGCGCGATTTTTTTAGCGACCCCTCGAGTCGCCCTCTCCCCTGCGGCCTCGCCGCCCACTCTGTCGCGGCCCCGCCCTGCTCCTTACGCGGCCCCGCCGCCTGCTCCTTACGCGGCCCCGCCCCGGCCCTTACGCGGCCCCGCGTCGCCTCCTACGCGGCCCTTACGCGGCCCCGCGCCGGCCCCTTACGCGGCCCTTACGCGGCCCTTACGCGGCCACGCCGCCGGCTCCTTACGCGGCCCCGCGCCGGCCCCTTACGCGGCCCTTACGCGGCCCTTACGCGGCCACGCCGCCAGCTCCTACGCGGCCCCACGCCGGCTCCTTACGCGGCCCGTCCTCGGCCCCTACGCGGCTCCGCGCCGGCTCCTACGCGGCTCTTACGCGGCCCCGCGCCGGCCCCCCCCCCCCTTACGCGGCCCTGACGCGGCCACGCCGCCGGCTCCTACGCGGCCCCGCGCCGGCTCTCACGCGGCCCCGCAGCTGGCTCCTACTCGGCCCCGCAGCCGGCCCCTTAAGCGGCCCCACCGCCGGCCTCCTACTCGGCCCTGCCCCGGCTCCTATCACGGCCCCGCCCCGGCTCCTTCGCGGCCCTGCCCCGGCTCCTACGCGGCCCTACCGCCGGCCCTGACGCGGCCCCGCCCCGTCTCACTTCTACGCGACCCGAGCCGCCTGTCGCCGAGCAGCCCGGGACCCGAGCCGCCCTGCAGCCGAGCCGCCCGGGAGCCGAGCCGCCCTGCACCCGAGCCGCCCTGCAGCCGAGCCGCCCGGGAGCCGAGCCGCCCTGCACCCGAGCCGCCCTGCCGTCGAGCCGCCCGGGAGCCGATCCGCTGTACACCCGAGCCGCCCGGTCGCCGTTCTGCTTTTCTGTCGAGCTGCGCGACCTGCCCTGCCTGGTGAGCACAGTCCCACTGTCACTGCGTGCTCTCCCCCCTACTGCTTGCACTGCTTCACAGTCGTCGTCATGGCTACCCCTAGTGTCCTAGCTTTTGACGCTGAGGGTCGCGCCATTGATTTTGAGGTCTGGCTAGACGACCTGCAGCTGTTCTTACAGTGCGACAGGGCTGATGACCTTTCTCTCTTTGACCTCACCTCTGGCGCCTCTCCTGCTCCTGCTGCTGATGCTGATCCCGCTGTCCGCTCTAAGTGGGCCACCCGCGATGCTGCTGCACGTCTTGCTGTGCGTCGCCACCTCCCTACCTCTGAGCGTGCGCACTTTAGTCAGTACAAGAGTGCTCAGACCTTGTACGACGCTGTAGTTGCGCGCTACTCCTCCCCTGCCACTGCTGCACTGAGCCGTCTCATGCTTCCCTACCTCTTTCCTGACCTCTCTGCCTTTCCCACTGTCGCTGACCTCATTACGCACCTCCGCACTAGTGACACTCGCTACCGCGCCGCCCTTCCTGCTGAGTTCTGCGCTAGGAACCCCCCTCCCATGTACATCGCTCTCTACTACGTAGTCGCGCGCCTCCCTGACTCCCTTCGCGTCGTCAGGGACCACTTTCTCGCAGTCTGTCCCACCACTCTCACCGTCGACCTCCTCGAGAAGGCCCTCCTTGCAGCGGAGAAGAGCATAGTCGCTGTAGGTGCTTCTCGTGGTGACCCTCGCACCCCCATCTTTGAGGGGTGCTCTCCTTCCCCCTTGCTGCCCTCTGTTGCCTCTGCTGCTGCTGCCGACCTGCTTGGTCTTGAGTCGGTCGGCGCGGCGTCTGCCCCTAGTGGGAGACGTCGCTCCAGCAAGGGCAAGGGAGGCAAGGGCGCGGGTGGAGCTGGGGGGGGCGGTGGCGGTGGCGGCGGTGGCGGCGGAGGGAGTGGGGGTGGCGGCGGGACTAGTGGCGGGGGTGGTGGTGGTGGTGGTGGCAGCAGCGGCGGAGACGGTGGTGGTGGTGCCAGCGGTGGTGGTGGAGGCAGCGGCGGAGGTGGAGGCGGCGGAGGTGGAGGCAGTGGAGGCGGCAGCGGCGGAGGCAGTAGTGGTGGAGGAGGTGGAGCTGGTCGGGGTGGTACCCAGCAGCGTAGCGGCGGTGGTGGTGGCCAGCGCTCGCACCGGCAGCAGCAGCAGCGCTCACGGGACATCCCTTCGCCTCAGCAGCTTCGTGAGTGGTACGCTGGGCGTCAGAGGGGTGGGGGTACTGGTCCCTGCACCTACGTTCTTCG